GATTAATGAGTAACCTATAACGGGAAATGATGTCATTTTGTGACCTTTGTGATCCTTTTTCGGAAAACGATCGTTCGTTTTTGACCATCAATGAGGATAAAGTCGGGCGTTTTTTCGAAAATTTTCCAACATCACCGATAATCTGAAAGTCCAAAATACACGAAAAACGGCCGACAAAATCGTCCACTAACGATAAGATAATCGGCCGGTTTTATTTTCGGACGAAAAATCGACCGTTTTTCTCCCCATCTATGGCCTGCATAAGTGTCAGTATTTCTGTCAGTTTTGCAGCTGCACGCCTATTTTACTGCTACTCTTGTGAGTATATTTTATTAATAAATTCATCTACTGTTTAGTGAGGTAATGTGCAAGCTTGGTGCGCTCTTTCCTTTTATTCTGTACTACAATGGAAGAAGCTGACCTGGCCTAATGAATAATGTTTTCTTTTATATCATGTGGATGGCTGGGTGTGTGCATCACCTACCTGGGGAAGAGATGACACCAGGATGCATTATGGGAAGAAGACAAGCCAGGGGAGCAGTGTAATGCTTTAGGCAAAGTTCTGCTGGGAAACCTTGGGTCCTGCCAATCATGTGGATATTACTATGACACGTACCAGCTACCTAATCATTGTTGCTGGCCACCTCTTCATGGAAACAGTATGCCCTGATGGCGGTGGCCTCTCTTAGCAGGATAATGCACCCTGTCACACTGCAAAAATGGTTCAAGAATACTTTGAGGAACACAACGATGAGTTTGAAGTGTTGACTTGGCTTCCAAATTCTCCAAATCTCAATCTAATCAAGCATCTGTGGGATGTGCTGGAAAAAACAAGTCAAATCCATGGGGGCCTCACCTCACAACATACAGGATTTAAAGGATCTGGTAGTAGTTGGCTTGGTGCCAGATACCGCAGCATACCTTCAGAGGTCTAGTGGAGTCCATGGATTGAGGGGTCAGGGCTGTTTTGGTGGCAAAAGGGACCTACTCAATATTAGGTGAGTGGTCATAAAGGTATAGTTGATCGGTGTATGTATATGTACTGTATATATATTCTGTATAATATACAATAGTTGATCCAACAGAGACAGCTTTTCTTTGAAAAAAAGACTCTGACTTGGAAAGTTGCTGCACAATTTTGGACAAATAGGCATGTTGATTTAAAAATGGATTTTGGAGAGGGAGGGGGTGTCATCCTGGTCCTTCATAAACAATCTATCATCCTCCTTTTCCAAAGCCAGTTCCTATTACATGTACTTGCGGAAACTTTAAAATCAGACTTCTTCCAAGGATAAACTGTGTCATTCCTGGAGCAGACTTCAAGTTTAGTTTGGCCAGGGCAGCCCTGTAAGCAAAGGATTCTGGGATGTCGTTGGCTGCAGTTGCTCTGAGCAGCAGGCACTTGTTAGAAGATTCAAACTGCGCTTGTGCCATCGGAGAGAGCGGTCTGGTGCTAATCCATAAAACCGTGCTTGAAAGGATGTTGGTTTAGGGCTGCCGTATGGCTAGAAAGGAAAATTGGCCGGGATGTGAAGTGATATGAAATGAAGCTCTGCGTGACTCAGATGCAATTATAAACCTCAACGGCAGATTTTTTTTGTTTGTTTTTGCAGAGTTGAATTAAGGTAAACTTGTACTTTAACCGTAATAAGTTTAATTACAGGAGGCACAATAATGGTCACCATTCCGGAAATGCCCAATCCACAACCCAAGCACCAAAGTCACAACTTTGTGTCTTAACTTATACAGGGTTTTCATGCTATCCACCACCCTCACGTGGCTGGGTGTAAGCTTGGTGATTGGATACTAAGGCACTGAGAGCTGTATTTAGGCAGTGGGGGGATGTCATGTGGTCTCCATACCCAAAACTATACTATTTGGCCCAATTGCTTACCTTAATCAGTGGGCACATGACGCACAGGGTCCTGACTCTTTTTGCTTTGCACTGAAGAGTTGGAAGGTCCTTCTTCAAACAGCCATATCCCTGGTGATGTGGATGCTTTCTTTTGACTGTCCATTGGTAGAGACCTCACAGGGTCCAGAAGATTTCAACAGTGGCATGATGATGTAATGATGAGGGGCATCAAAGGGACTGGGGGGCAGCTTGGTGAACTGCATAAGGGGATTACCAGTCTCCATGACCCACCGGGTCCAAACTCTTCTTTGCTTTGAACTGAAAGGTGGGATTGTCCCTCTTAAAGCAGCCATATCCCTGCTGACGCAGATGGTTTCTGTTGGCTGTCCATTGGTGGAGACCTCACAGGGTCAGTGACATGATAATGTAAGATGAGGGATGGTATCAAAACCAGATGGCATCAGGGTTGGACCACATAAGAGGATTACCAGTTTCCAAGACCCACTGGGTCCCGATCCTTCTTTGCTTTGCACTGAAGGTGGGAGGGCTCTTCTTCAAGAAGCTACATCCATGGTGATGTGAATGCTTTTTATTGGCTTTCCATTGGTGGAGACATCACAGGGCCCTGAACATTTCAGCAGTGACGTGATGATGTAACGATGAGGGGCAGTAATGAGGGTTGGACTGCATAAGAGGATTAGTGGTCTCCATGACCCACTGGGTCCCGACTCTTCTTTGCTTTGCATTGAAGAGAGGGAGAGCCCCTCTTCAAACAGCCACAACCCTGGTGTGTGGATGCTTTCTATTGACTGTCCATTTGTAGGGACCTCACAGTGTTCTGAAAATTTCAGCAGCAACATGATGATGTAACAGTGAGGGGCAGTAACGACACCTGGCAATGACCACATAAGTGGGTTTGGTCTCTATTACCCACTGGGCTCCAACTCTGCTTTGCTCTGAAGAGTTGGAGGGTCCTTTATTTATACAGCCACATCACTGGTGACCTTGATTCTGTCTATCGGCTGTCATTTTGTGGGAAACAACACAGGGTCCTGAAGATTTGAACAACAATGTGATGATCTAATGGAAGGTGCGGCAACAAGACTGGGATGTAGCATAAGAGGATTACTTCTCTCCATGCCTCACCATGTCCTGGCTCTTGTTTGCACTGAAGAGCTGGAGGGTCCATCTTTGAAGAGCCACATCCCTGGTGCTGCAGATGCTTTCTATTGGCTGTCCATTGGTGGGGAACTCACAGGGTTCTGAAGATTTTGGCAGTGACATGATGATGTAAGATGAGGGGGGGGGACAACAAGATTGAGCAGTGGCAGGGTTGGACAGCATAAGAGGATTACCAATCTTCATGACCCACTGGGTCCCAACTCTTCTTTGCATTGAACTTAAGTGTGAGAGTGTGATGTGGATGCTGTCTATTGGCTGTCTATTTGTAGGGACCTCACATGGTCCTAAAGCTTTCAGCAGCGACATGATGATGTAACAATGAGGGGCGGTAACAAGACCTGGTGGCAGCAGGGTTGGACCACATAACAGGATTACTGGTCTCCATTACCTACTGGGTCCCGACTCTTCTTTACTTTGCACTGAAGAATGGGAGGGTCCTCTTCGAGCAGCCACATCCCTAGTAATGCAGATGCTTTCAACTGGCTATCATAGGTGGGGATCTCACGGGGTCCTGAAGATTTTGGCAGAGACATATGATGTAAGATGAGGGGTGGCAACAAGACGGCAGGATTGGACCACATAAGGTGGTCCAGTTTCCAAGAACCACCGGGTCCCAATTCTTCTTTGCTTTGTACTGAAGAGTGGGAGGGCCCTTCTTCAAGAAGTTGATGCTTTCTATTGGCTGTCAATTGGTAGGGTCCACACAGGGTTCTGAAGATTTCAGCAGCATGTGATGATGTAACGATGAAGGGCGGTTATGTGGCTGGGTGGCGGCAAGCCTGGTCCACAGAAGCGTTTTATCAATCTCCATTGGTGACACGTGATGGTGGACCCAGAAGAGTAAATAGGTTGCAAGAGGGTTTCTTTTTTGTAAATGGGTGGGAGGGATTTAGAGGAGGAACCTCATGGGCATTACTGTTCTTCTAAAATGTAAAACCAATTATTTTAAGCAAGGTCTCATTTTATTAGACGGAAGAGTGCTCTCAGAGCTCCTCAAAGGGGACCACAGCCTCTTGCCAGTTATTTTTTACTGTGCAACATTCAGAATTACACCTCTCTGCGCACATTCCTTTCTTGCAGCCCAATCAGATCCAAGGTGTTAACAATCCCATTCTAACATGCCTCATTAAAAATGGAGTCATCTCAAGGGCATGCATATTTACAATGGATCTTTCTAGGGCTATTTTTTTTTTTTAGCTACTCCACCTGAAATACTGCATGTACCTTCGTTCTGTGAGAATGGGTTCGAAATCAAATACGGTTTTCTCACCAGGTCAAATGTTATTCCGAGTGAAGCACCAAAATACCACATTATGGCCACTAGAAGGTGCTAAATAAAGTGGTGAGCATCAGCACCTTCTAGTGGCCATAATTTAGTATTTTCCCATTCACTAAATTCTGTATAAAAGAATAACATTGACTAGGTGAGAAAATACCTTTTGATTTTGAGCCCATTCTCACAGAATGATTGTACATGTAGTTTCAAAGGATAAATAGCTAAAAACACTCCTGAAAGTGTTACTAAACCCCCCGCAGTACAATCAGTCTGTAGATGCAGTAAAGCGTGCTTGTTATACTCACTGTGGAACCTAAGGGGTTAATCCTCCGCGTTGTGTAAAAAAGCTGTTTGATCCTGACTGCTCTGTTCCTCCCCTTGTTTAAGCAACCACTTCTTATCTCCTAATAAGACAGACTGAACGGTAGGCATTTTGCACATGCTCAGTTTGGTGTGTATTGCTAAAGAGGGTTTTTTTTTTTCTTGGGAGAATGCATGTGATCAGCAAAGGGCAAATCAGCGCTGTCCAGACAGAGGGTCAGGGGTCATGCAGCCTCATAGGACAATCAGGGGAGAATGAAAACTCCTCACTATAAGCTTTAACCAGTGCTCTGCTGGACACTGATAGAAGTCACATGACTGCTATATACTGCTGATGAGAAAAGGTATTTAGCGGATTATATTTACTAAAATAATTGCATTTCCATGTTGTGTGTGTACTGTGAGAGACCAGATATAGTGAATGCGGGGTCCGGGAAGAGCGTATATAGTGAATGCAGGGTCCGGGGAGAGCGGATGTAGTGAATGCAGGGTCCAGGGAGAGCGGATATAGTGAATGCAGGGTCCGGGGAGAGCGGATATAGTGAATGTGGGGTCTGGGGAGAGCGGATATAGTGAATGCGGGGTCCGGGGAGAGCAGATATAGTGAATGCGGGGTCCGGGGAGAGCGGATATAGTGAATGCGGGGTCCGGGGAGAGCGGATATAGTGAATGCGGGGTCCGGGGAGAGCGGATATAGTGAATGCGGGGTCCGGGGAGAGCAGATATAGTGAATGCAGGGTCCGGGGAGAGCGGGTATAGTGAATGCGGGGTCCGGGGAGAGCGGATATAGTGAATGCGGGGTCCGGGGAGAGCGATATAGTGAATGCGGGGTCCGGGAGAGCGGATATAGTGAATGCGGGGTCCGGGGAGACGGATATAGTGAATGCGGGGTCCAAGGAGAGCGGATATAGTGAGTGCGGGGTCCGGGGAGAGCGGATATAGTGAATGCGGGGTCCGGGGAGAGCGGATATAGTGAATGCGGGGTCCGGGGAGAGCGGATATAGTGAATGCGGGGTCCGGGGAGAGCGGATATAGTGAATGCGGGGTCCAGGGAGACCGGATATAGTGAATGCGGGGTCCGGGGAGACCGGATATAGTGAATGCGGGGTCCGGGGAGAGCGGATATAGTGAATGCGGGGTCCGGGGAGACCGGATATAGTGAATGCGGGGTCCGGGGAGAGCGGATATAGTGAATGCGGGGTCCGGGCAGAGCCGGATATAGTGAATGCGGGGTCCGGGGAGAGCGGATATAGTGAATGCGGGGTCCGGGGAGAGCGGATATAGTGAATGCAGGGTCCGGGGAGAGCAGATATAGTGAATGCGGGGTCCGGGGTTTAGTAACACGTTAAGAGGGACCTATTGTAATTAGTTTGGACTTCTGCTTTAAGAGTCTTTCCTAAGAACTGTTTTTAGCGATCCATAGCAATCAGTCAGACTCAGTCTTTCAGTTCATTGATATTTTCTAGAGGAGCACTGATTGGCAGTAAAGCCGGGAGAGATGGGAGGAGCTGGGAATCCAGACACCCAAATTTAGGATTAGATCACCAGAAACGGGCAGATTTTGGATCCAGTATTTTACCAATCCCAAGAGGAACAATAAAACATCTGGGCAGGTAAATCGTGAGTCCTATGTGTACTTCCCAATAGATATCTGCGTTTTCCCGGAGTGTTCCTTTAAGCACCAACACATCCTTGTTGGCGATGTATTTGTATCGAGACATTCCTCGTTTGCTTGGAGACCCCGGAGGTCTCGGTTCACGCAGCTCCCCATTGGCCGGGTGAAATGGAGACGGTCGTTTGGAAAGGAAACAAGCGCACTATTTGTGTATGCCGGCTGGAAGCGCGGTTTGGCATTTCGGCGGGATTATCGCATAATGATCGGCGGTATTTTACTAAGAATTGTGATATTTCAGCCGCTCCGGAACACGGAAATGGAGCTGAAATCCCCGACTGTCGGAACACAAATATGTTCACTTTGCTTTATTTTCAAATTGAATAAATAAAAGCCACTTAAAGGGGAATGTAAGCAACGCTGGAGGCAGGGCGGACTGACCAATCGAGCACTCGTACACTGCCCGAGGGCCCGGGGTCAGTAGGGGGCCCCATGAGATGCCCCTGGTACCTTTTATAGGCTTTTTTGGGTGTGCTTTGAGTGTGGGCAAGGACACCGGGGCCCCATGATCCCCTATTGCCCGGGGGCCCCATGAGTTGTCAGTCTGCCCCTGGTCACCAGTCACAGCACTGCGATTTAAAATTGTGCGATTTGTGTGCAATTTCAGTGCGATTTCTGAAGACTTTATTGCTACTTGTGAAGATTTTCAATGATTTCTTGCAATCTGCAGTGCGATTTGCATCCTATTCTATGGGCTCTTTCACACAGATGTTCCAATTGGGTCCGTCCTTCCCTGGCTGCCAGGAATCCACACACTGCCGACCCTCCACAGCCGTCCCCGAGGTGCTGTAAACCGCAAAAAACAAGATAACAGAAAACGGTTTCCTTCCAGAAAATGATAAAATGGACCAATATAGAAATTGTAACCTTCCGCCCAGATCTGCATTCTTCTCGCCGTCTTCCCTCGGAGATGTGATATTCTGCAGATTTCCCATGATACCATATACACATAAACAGAATATGTGACCGCTGTCTCCGGGGTAGGTCGGGGGGGTCTCCCTCCCACACAGGGCCCACCCAGAGAACGAGGGACAAACATGGACGCGGCATCCCCGGAGCCCGAGGATTGTTTTCCGGAGATGGAGAAGCGGGCGAGCCGCAAGGTGCTAAAAATAAGGATGATTCTTCCTTCCTAAGCAGAGAACTCCCGGAGCGGAGCGCAGGCTTGTCCTCGTGTTATCTCACTGCCATCAGAGAGGGGCCCCTGTGCCGCATCCTGCGAGGACGGACATTGTCCATGGCTGAGGACACCATCCTATATTACATCAACGTAAATATATTACCCTTTCCGGGGGGGGGGGGTAATATATTTACAAATTACATACTCAAAAAAGATACAAAGTAATCATAAATACAAGCAGTGTAAGTACCTGGATGTGACCTTCTTGTCAGCTTCCTGCATTCCCCCCCATATAGCAGAGCTCAGACTGGGAGAGGGAGAAGCAGAACAAGGAGCCAATCGGTTTATGGGCCGTGAAAGGAGAAGCAGCACAAGGAGCCAATCGGCCCATGCTTACCTTATCAAAAACTGAAAACAAAATGTTTTGTCTGAAGATACATTAGAAGGAATATATATATATAAAAGAATGCAGCAGGGAAAATGAGACTTCCTGTGCTGAAGCAAGAGGAGTGAGACTGCAAGGTGGGTGAACTTACCTCTGGCGCGCTCATGATACATAGTCAGTTGGGGAGTGACATCATTTTACAGTGTCTGTGATACATTGTAACTTAAGTTTTGGGCAGACGATGAACTGATGGCTCCGCACTCTCCGGCCCTGACTTCTGCCTGGATGCTGCATGCTTTACCAATGATAACAGCAAGTGACCATTTATAGATCCGTGTACCTGGAGTAGTAATAAAACTCCAACTTCTGATAATAATTCCTGTGTCTGCAGATCGCACCAATCCCTACAAACTCCACATTTACAGGAAACGTCCAATAGGGACAGCAAAGGCAACACTGCCCCCTGCAGAGCATTGCGCCATACTGCAGAGCACAGCCTGATGAATACGTTATGAGTACTTATGCAGCATCAACCGACTCATCATACAGGGGAGAAAGGCAGGGAGATCATGGAACTCAACGCAGATACAGGCCCTGCTGGGAACTGAACCCAGGATTCTGGTGCTGCAATGCATGAATGCTACCAATAATCTAGCCAAGACCGATAGATAGATAGATAGATAGATAGATAGATAGATAGATAGATAGATAGATAGATAGATAGATAGATAGATAGATAGAGATAGATAGATAATATAGATAGATAGATAGATAGATAGATAGATAGATAATAGATAGATAGATAGATAGATAATAGATAATAGATAGATAGATAGATAGATAGATAGATAGATAGATAGATAGATAGATAGATAATAGATAGATAGATAGATAGATAGATAGATAGATAGATAGATAGATAGATAGATAGATAGATAGATAGATAATAGATAGATAGATAGATAGATAATAGATAGATAGATAGATAGATAGATAGATAGATAGATAGATAGATAGATAGATAGATAGATAGATAGATAGATAGATAGATAGATAGATAGATAGATAGATAGATAGATAGATAGATAGATAGATAGATAGATAGATAGATAGATAGATAGATAGATAGATAGATAGATAGATAGATAGATAATAGACGATAGATAGATAGATAGATAGATAGATAGATAGATAGATAGATAGATAGATAGATAATAGATAGATAGATAGATAGATAGATAGATAGATAATAGATAGATAGATAGATAGATAGATAGATAGATAGATAGATAGATAGATAGATAGATAGATAGATAGATAGATAGATAGATAGATAGATAGATAGATAATAGATAGATAGATAATAGATAGATAGATAGATAGATAGATAGATAGATAGATAGATAGATAGATAGATAGATAGATAGATAGATAGATAGATAGATAGATAGATAGATAGATAGATAGATAGATAGATAGATAGATAGATAGATAATAGATAGATAGATAGATAGATAGATAGATAGATAGATAGATAGATAGATAGATAGATAGATAGATAGATAGATAGATAGATAGATAGATAGATAGATAGATAGATAGATAGATAGATAGATAATAGATAGATAGATAATAGATAGATAGATAGATAGATAGATAGATAATAGATAGATAGATAGATAGATAGATAGATAGATAGATAGATAGATAGATAGATAGATAGATAGATAGATAGATAGATAGATAGATAGATAGATAATAGATAATAGATAGATAGATAGATAGATAGATAGATAATAGATAGATAGATAGATAGATAGATAGATAGATAGATAATAGATAGATAGATAGATAGATAGATAGATAATAGATAGATAGATAGATAGATAGATAGATAATAGATAGATAGATAGATAGATAGATAGATAGATAGATAGATAGATAGATAGATAATAGATAGATAGATAGATAGATAGATAGATAGATAGATAGATAGATAGATAGATAGATAGATAGATAGATAGATAGATAGATAGATAGATAGATAGATAGATAGATAGATAGATAGATAATAGATAGATAGATAGATAGATAGATAGATAGATAGATAGATAGATAGATAGATAGATAGATAGATAGATAGATAATAGATAGATATAGATAGATAGATAATAGATAGATAGATAATAGATAGATAGATAGATAGATAGATATAGATAGATAGATAGATAGATAGATAGATAGATAGATAGATAGATAGATAGATAATAGATAGATAGATAATAGATAGATAGATAGATAGATAGATAGATAGATAGATAGATAGATAGATAGATAGATAGATAGATAGATAGATAGATAGATAGATAGATAGATAGATAGATAATAGATAGATAGATAGATAGATAGATATAGATAGAGATAGATAGATAGATAGATA